ATGGCATGGTAGCGTTGTAAAACAACCTCACAGCTCTCAAAAAAGATTAAATACAGTTACCATCCGATTGAACAGTTTTGCTCTTAAGATCCCAAAAGAAATGAGGAAAGATGCCCACAAAAACTAGTACATACATGTTCCTAGCAGCTTTCTTCACAAGAGCCCAAAGGTCAGAACCATTCAAATACCTATTGATATGCTTATGAGGAGGAAGTTGGTAAGACCCAAATGGCCATCTACTGTGTGAGTCTGCTTCTGTAAAATGTCCACAATAGGCAAATCCAGAGATGAGAAAGTAAAGTAGCAGTTGCCTGAGGCTAGGGAGGAGAGAGGGAAGAAATAAGTGACAGGTGAGGGAAGAAAGCTTTCTTTCAGATATAATGAAAATGTTCTAAAATTGGTTGTGGCGATGGATGTACACTTCTGGGAATATAGTTTAAAAAACCATTGAATTATACCCTAAATGGATTAATTATATGGTGTATGACTTGTATTACAATAAAGCTGTTTATTTATACACAGAAGTTGAGTATCCCTTATCCAAAGTGTTGAAGACCAACTATGCTTTCGATCTGGGATTTTTTTTCAGAGTTGGAAATATTTGCATTGTACATAGTGAGCTATCTTGGGGATGGGATCCACGTCTAAACATGAAATTCATTTCTGTTTCCCATGCACTTATGCACAGAGCCTAAAAGTAATTATATATTTAATAAATTAGTACTATTTAATAAAGTACTTAAGACATTTATATATTTAATAAGTCTGTGCATGAAACAAAGTCCAATAGTGTGCAGGATTTTCCACTTTATGGTGTTATGTTGGTGCTCAAGAAGTTTCAGATTTATGAATAATTCAGGTATTGGGTTTCGAAGCTAGGGCAGCTCAACTTGTAGTGAGAAGTAAAGTCCACCGGATGCTCATAAAGCACCTCAGTCTCTGTCATCTGTCATCTCAGCCTCACAATGCCCTCATGTTGCAAATGACGAAGCTGACACTCAGAGAGCCCAGATGACCCATCTGGCACGCCCAGGAAAGTGCCAGAGCCAGGATCCCAGGTCTGCTCTGTTGAATCCCAAAGTCCACGTGTGCCGAGTACATGGCAGGGCACAGGAAGACAGAAAGAGCGGAGGTAACCAGCAGGTGGTAACCCCGAGGCTGGGACAAGTGGTTTTGATTTAATACAGAAAATCACAAAAAGCCTGCACCTCTTTTTCATAAGAGGGGTTATTTTTTAATCTTTGAAACCCCTTGAGATCAATTAATAATTAACAAAGGAAATAAAGAAAGGGGAAATAGGAGTTGGGGATTTAGCTCGGAGGGGGCACCAGGGATTTAGCTCAGTGGTTCTGCCACCTGCCTCGCAAGCGCAAGGTCCTGAGTTCAATCCCCAGTACCAAAAAAAGGGGGGGGGACAGGAATAAGTGAAGTGTAAGGCTATTACAAGGTACCAGGGAAGGGAGGATCCTGATGGCCTTCAGCTAGGTACCCTCGGAGAACAGACCCAGCCTCCAGCCAGAAAAGCAGTCATGAAGCGGCCCTGCAGGGCCACAGGGACAGGGCACCTGCTTCTCCAACCACCTTTATGGAAGGCACATGGAGCTTCCGGAAGGGAAAAGCTAGAAGGAAGGCTTCAGAGCCGACTGCGGGAACACTGACTGGCTTCCCGATTCCAGGATGTTCCCATCTGCTTGCAGGGTTGTGGGAAGTTACAGTGATGGATTCGACCAACTCATCAATAATTTACTCCTACCCAGAACCGAGCCGGTTCCTTTAGCTCCAGTTAAACACACGGGCATACAAACATGCATGGCCCTGGGTACACTGAACTCAAATAAAATGACAAAGGAAGCAGCTGTAGCATTCTCCAGGCTTCTCCAGGGTCAGGGCGAGGCCCATGGAGAGTGATGCATCTGCCAAGCTGTGAAGAGTCCTTGATGCCATTGGAGGCTACAAGGTCCACTCATTTCAAGCCATACTTTGTGTGGGATGCTTTTGGGAAAGAGCTCGGGCTGCTCCTAAATATCGGATTAAAGGGCACCAGGCTCCAAGAACACCTGAGTGCTTTTTTGAAATCCTGCAAAATCACAGCCAACACAGTGGGGCCCACAGCAGCAGGAAACAGTTGGGAATTTTATTTAAAGCATTATTAATGAGGAAGGGTCTGCGGTGAGATTTCTTAATGCTTATGAATATTTATTACAGTACATTCTTAAAATCAACTCCCAAAATTTGGTCTAGTACAAATAGGAAACAGATTTCTAAGAGTCAGTCATACGTTTACATTATGCAAATTATAGTTAAAGACCTATAACCAGAATATTATTAAATGCCAAAAAGGAGGTGGGAGGCTGCTGATATTTGGACATTTTCTTCAAGTGGGCAAAAATATTTTCAGGGTTTTTTAAGTGTATTTTTTTAAATTTTTATTTTATTGGTATATTTTAGGTATACAATATAATGACATTCATCATTGGAAATTTGCACCTTTACATAATCTCTCTTGGTTCTTATCTTTTCCCCTTCCCCTGCCCTCCCTTCAACCCCTCCATCCCTCCCTATTTACAAAGACTTTTTTTCCTTTTTTTCTTTTTCTCATATTAATTCCATTCCCTTCTTTCCTTTCCCCTACCCCTCCCACTTCCCCTTCCCCTTTGCCCCTTTTCTTCCTATTTCACATTATCTATTATACCTTTTAGTCCTTCTTTACACTTTCAGTTTCTCACACTAGAGAAACTATTTGACAGTCTGTGCATCAAAGGGCTCCAGTGAGCACATCTTTACTTTTTCTAACTGGAAACAGAGTCACACACTCAAGGCAGTGTCAAAAGCCTGCAGTTGCTACAGCCTCTTTATTCTCCTCACTCAGGGCTCTGCTAGACTGGGCTAGAAGCTCCCATGGCCTTGATCGGGAAGCTTCCAAACAAATCTCAGTCTCCCTCAGCCCTGGAGCAATGAGGAGGCTTTGTTTAGAAACCGAAGACTCCCAGACAGCTAGCTATGCACGCTTGTGTTTCACAATTAACAAAAAAGAGGCACAAGAGAGAGACAGTCTCACGTGCTGAACAGCTTGCTCCAGAGATACCACCTTGAGCTTTGCAATGCCAGTAGAGCAGAAAATCCTCCGAATGGAAACCCAGACGGACACGCATGTGACCCGCAGAAGTCAGTGTGCAAGGGAGGTGGAGAGCAGGAGGAGATCGCCCTTTGCACACTGGAGCTAAAGCCTTAGAGGCCAGGCTAGGGTGAAGCTTGGTGGTAGAGCCCTGGCCTGGCATGCAGGAGCCTTTGAGTGCCAGTCCCAGCACCGCTCAAACAAAAACCCACAACCCTACATGTTCACAGAAACCACATGAGTGTGGGCGAGCTGACAGATGAAAACAGTACTGGTCCTTATCAGGAAATCAATTCACACTCCTTGTAAGAAAACTGTAAAACCCAGGGCAGCATAATAAAAGTGAAAAATTAACTAAATAGGATTAAATTCAAAGTGAGAGCCTGATCAGGTCAGCAGCAAGGTGCCTGGCTTTGGCTCCCCGGTGCCAAGGACTGAGGGAGGACCCCAGGCCCTCACTCCTCATCCCTATCCTACTCTCTCCTGCAGCCCCCAGGCCACAGCCCCAGAAGTATTGGAGCTTGACAGAGCCTCCTCTGCAGGCTGCAGTCCAAGGAGCTGGAGCCTGTCACAGTGGGCTCTTCCTAAAGCACAGGGAGAATAAATGAGCTGCAGATTGCATAAACGTCACTGCCAGAATCAAAACCCCCACTCAATCATCACCTTGCAACCCCACCTCCACCAACTCTAGCTGTGTGGCCTTCGTTAGTTACTTGACCACTCAGAGCCTCCCCTCCCCTCTGCCGGTGGCGGATGAGAACAGTCTCCTCAGTTTACAGGGCTGTGGACATTGCAACCAGTGTCCCCTTCAGTGGACACTGTCCCTTATGTGCATTGTTCTTTCTAAGAACAGCAAGTGCAAGCTGCCAGGCAAGGTGGCATAGACCTGTAATTCCTGCTACTCAGGAGGCTGAGGCAGAAGGATTCCAAGTTCAAGACCAACCTGGGCGATGTAGTCAAGTTGTTACGGCTTGTGTTTAGATGTCCCCTCAAAGCCTCATGTGGTTATAGGTGGGGCTTTTTCAGGGGTAACTGGATCTAGAGTGTGTGACACTGGGATTAATGCATGGTGCAATGCTGGGATCAAGGGCACTAGGATTAAGAATGTGAGTGCTACCTGCTCTAAGTGGCCTGGATAAGACATAAGGACTAGAAAGAGCTGTGGTGGTCCCTTGCTTACTTTGCTGCCTTCTGCCTGCCATGAACTGTCTCTCCTCTGCCATGCCTATCTGCCAGGCCACCTTGCCTTGGAGCCACACCTACAAACTGTAGCCACCTCTACAGACTGTGAGCTAAATAAACTTTTCCTACTTTAACTTTGAGTGTCAGGTATTTTGTCTCAGCAATGAGAAAAGTAACTAAGACACAGACCATGACTCAAAATAAAACAAAAATAAAGGGCTAGGGCTTATGCTCAGAAGTAGTGTGCTTGCCCAGAATGTGTGAGATTCGATCTCCAATACCACACACACCAAAAAAAAAGCCAAAAAAAACCAACAAGTGCCCCCATGAATGCAGCTCTGAATACTGTCAATGTGGGCAAAATATGTAAATGAAAAGATGTGTGTGTTAATAAACAGTAATAAGAATGCACTATTAGATCCCTAAAGCTGAAAATGAACCATCTCTGCCTTGATGATCTTGTAGTCAGACTGTGAGCATAAGCATTATTTCCTAGGTGTCTTTTTCCACTCATTGCACTCAGTGAAATCAGGACCCCTGTTTTGAAAATCCAGGGCTGGGGGTGCAGCTCAGTGGTAAAGCAATTGCCTAGCATTCATGAGGCTCCATGTTCAATGCTTAGTGCTAGACACACACACACACACACACACACACACACACACACAGAGATGAATACACAAATTATCCATGAACGACTACCAACCTGTCTTTGTGTCCCGGGGATTAACCAAAACCAGTATTTTGTGTTGAGGTTCATCCCGGTAAACAGGGCAAAAGCAAACAGATGAAGTTTCAAGTTTCACCTGAAAAAATTAAAATAAAATAACCACTTTGGTCTTTCAACATACCAAGGACACAGGAAATTACTGAATGATGAATTCCACAGTATTCACTGAAAAAGAATGCTGTTTCACAGAAGTTAGTTTAGTCAGATGTAGGAAACATGAACATAGAGACCTCCCCGACTCTGCGCTCAGCACAGGCGCAATTTGGCCAAGGTCGCCCACCCAGCAAAGCTCTTCCCACGTTCACCTGTCCGTCTACCCAGGTTGGTTAAACGCCTAGCCTGCTGGCGAATGCCCTAGGACCTCCCTCTTCTGCAGACTTCCCGCCCCAGCAGGCTTCTCCATCCTAGTCCTTCCTTGGGCCTCCATCTACAGCAGTGGAGCCACACACCTGCCTCTCATCTGTCCCTGTCAAGTTGGTCTCTACTGTCCTCCCAAGAGCTGGCAGCCACTCGGGACATCACCAGGCTGCCTGCTGCCCCAGCTCAGGTCCCTGCGCGCAGTCTCAGGAAATGCACACCAGCTCTGGACCTCTAGACTCAGCCCCGTGCCTTGCAGCTGCAGGGTAAAAAAACTGAACCCCAGCCACTCGTTTACTTACCCAAGAGTGGAATGGGGGTCTAGCACTGACACCGCCCCGTCTTTCAAGACCCCACATCCAAAGCCTTCTTTGTGGCCATCAAACTCTCTGCCCCCACCCTCTAAAGCAAAAGGCCAACACATTCCATTACCAAGTCGTTTTTGAAAACCGAGGAGAGGATAGGAAATTAGAAAAGAATGTGTCGGCTGAGCCAGGCAGGCAGGTTGCTTGTAAAAGTTTACAGCAGCCTCTACAGTTTCAGAGAACTATTTCCTAAACAAATCCTGGGATCCATAAACGTCTTGGTGCCACCTCCTCTTCTCTAAGGTCACTGTTATGAAGAATCCTGCAGAGGTTATCTGAAGCAGGGATCACCCCGGGATGGCCACTCCATGTGGTCATTAGACACAATATTCTCAGTGTCCAGCCAACCTGGAAAGTGCTTTGCATCCAGAGAATGAGCTTCCCCTTAAAAAGTGTGAGCAAAATAAAAATCAAAAGGAAACACATTAAAATGTTTACAGTCGTCAGCCACGGAGGGTGGTATTTTCTCTGTGCTTATTCCTGGCTCTCAAATGTTACCCAATGAACGTGCTCAGTTCTAGGACCAGAAATATCAGTAAGTGTTACTGTGTCTGAAAGGCGACAGGACCATCAGGAGACTGGAAAAAAGAGTTCATTGAGAAAAGACAGCGCCAGAGCAAGGTGACATCCTCTATCCTCCAACCTCTTCCTCATCTTTCTTTTTATTTTGAAAAAAACTTTAGATACAAAAAGAAGAATGAAACCTGCTCCAAGCAAGTAGGAGGCCCGGTGTGGGGCCAATTTCAGCCCGGTAAAAGGCAGGAAATCGCTCCTGTCTCCAGGAACCCCCAAATGGTGGGAGACCAAGTGATCGTTTTCATGAAATTATTGTCTTTAGAAGGAGGAGAAGCCAAAAGACGTGTAAGTCATTTCAGCGTTTCTATCATATCAAAACGACTTCGTTTATCACCGGTCTCATTTTAAGTTTTGTTAACAACATTAACTTTATTCACTCCCTGAGCATACTCCGAGGGGTTTTGTAAATTAGTCCTTAAATACATGGGCAGGCTGGGAATACCACTTACTGACAGAGCCCTTGCCTAGCAAGACAAAGGTCAGCTATTCAGTCCGAAAAAGGAAAAGAAAAAGTGGAACCATAGAAATGCGTGCAATAAAAGCGGACGGTTGAAACTGCACCTTCAAGGACTTCTGGGCGAACTCTTTCATTTCTCTGCCCTGCTGATCGACTGGCGTGCTTTTCTTCCTCCATCTCCGCAGCAGCAGCCTGCAAGGCCTCAGCTACCTAAGGCGAAACCCCGGGTCGGGACCCGGAGTTTGCGCAGTTCCGGAGTAGCGCCACTGGGGGGCACTGAAAGCACGGAGGACAGCGCCCTCCCTGCCTCTCCACCCAGCGACCTGAGTCCCGCAAGGCGGTGCCCCATCTCCGAAGTCCCAGTCTTCCTTACCCGGAACAGCTGCCCAGCGCTGTAACTGCCCCGTCCTCCGCAACCAACTCTGCCCGCCGGAGAGCAAGGATGTCTGGTCGGAGGGGAACCTTAGAGGACTCACTGGAGAGATCTGGGTCTCTTTCAGGCCAGCCCGAAGTCTGAAGGAAAGATGACTGACACAGGGACGGCCTGAGAGTTGCGCGCTCTCCTTACTCTACTTTCTCTGTCCGTTCCTTTCTAGTCCCTACCCACAATGCATAGGTTCAGTGCCAAAAATCATAATCGACAGAACTTGATTCTGACTCACAACGCATTCAAACTCAATCAAGCCTTCAAGACCAAAGAGGGAACAATCCCCTCATTTCACCAATGGAGAAACTGAGACCCAGCCAGGTCTTACCTACAGCATCTCATTTAATCCTCATAAAACCACTATGAGGTAAGTACTGTTAGTGTCCCAGTTGTAGAGATGAGCATACCAACATCAGAGAGGCTAAGACACTTATTTAAGGTCACACAGAAAGAGTCCTAATCCGGGGTTCCTCCTGCTCCTCAAGATAGAATTATTTACTCACTCCACAAGGGTTGTGGCTGTCGCTTTGTTTTGCTGGGTTTTGTTCTAAATCTAGAGCGCTCCTCTGTGACCTCTACTGTCTAAATTAGACGTGACAGGAACGTACACCTACCTGCTCCCCGGAGAAGGGCGGCGTCCCGACCCCAAGTGAGGCGTAGTGAGCCGCCTCCTGCTGGCCCTCGGGGTCATCTTCCAGGAGATCCACCGGGTAGGTCCCTGCCCGGGCTGAGGTGCTGCCTGAAACACAGTGGGCTTAGTGACTACTGAATTTGCATAGTGAGTGTCCAGTGTTGGCGGTAGGGTACCATTAGCCTTTCGCTGGGCTTGATAATGTTAGTCATAAAAAACTAAAAAATAAAAAAATCAAAGGCCGTTCCCCTGTCCCCTCGTGGACTATTCAGGAAACTTCTTTTTGCTCCCCCAAACCGCAGAGTGACTTCCCAAATACTTTCAGCAGCCAGCATGGTGGGCTGGGGCCTCGAAAGCTGAACACAGCTGGTCAGCATCATGGAAGCCATCAAAACCCAGCTGAGCTCTCCTTATCTGGCTGGCTTATATCGTGGTACAGATTTCTCAGATTCTGCCAATTTTGCCCTCACTGGGCACCTCTGGTCGCAGACTAAGTGTGGGCAGTGGACCGAATGAGTGAGAAAACCACACAGCCCAACACAGATAAACTCCTGAACGTACTCATGCACAAAGAAATTAAGTGCAAGTTATTCTCAGACAAGCGCTCACTGTCTCTTCCCACTGCTGTGCTTGCAGGGGAGAATGCTATCCTAGAATAACCAGACAGGCTGATGACAGCTCAGCTTGACAGCAGCAAGCAGGTACCCCCTCTGCAGACCCCACCTCTGCCTTTGATTTGCTTCTGGGCCTCCTACAAAGGAAGAGAGCTGCCATGTCAGCTGCCTGCCCTCCTTCTCTTTCCTCCCGTCTGATACCTCTTCTCCTCCCCATCCTCCTCTGCTTCCTCCTTCCCTTATCTCTGACTTGTCCACTGCTCTCCTCCTCTCCAAAGAAGGATCAATCTGGACGGGAACACCCACTTCCCACCCTTCTCCCAGAAGTTCCTTCATCCTGCAGCCACTTTGCCAGAAAGGGAGGCAGCCATCAGCAGCAAAAGTATCAGGTCCTCAGGCCACCGAGTTTGCTCAGCAAGAATGTCACTGCAACTGATTACTTACCAGAGGGAAAGCACACAGAGAACGGAGGGCGGCGAGAGCCACAGTGGCTGGGACATGGTCTTGCATGAGCCTAGACTCTAGCCTTCTGCAGTGGCAATATGGACACATGGGGAGGTAAATTACACAATGAAAAGAGTCGAGCTCTGTATGTATCAGTGCGAGAAAACCGCATCTATACCGAACAAAAGCAGACTTTTTTCCTTATCGTTATTCCCTGACCAATGCCGTGTAACAAGCACATAGTGTTACAAAGTAACAAATACTCACATCATATTAGGAATTATAAATCACCTGAGGATTACATGACCTGGCTTGTGCCTAGGTCAAAAGCAAATGCTCCATTTTATATAAAGGACCGAGAACCCACAAACCTCGGTATGGGGAGGCATGGTCCTCAAACTCGTTCCTTGTGGATACTGAAGGACAACAGTATGTTGCTCCTCTATTCAGTTTTTTTTTTTTAAAGAATTTGAGTGTGAAATTCACGCACACATTACAAATGTTTCAATAAAGACACAGAGAATCAATAGTCCATTTCGTGGTGATGAGTGTGTCAGCGATGAGCTTTGGGAGCTGTCTACAAAGGAGACAGACTCGTGGTGTGGCCGAGTGTGTGTGTGTGTGTGTGTGTGTGTGCGCGCCTGAGTCCTCCCTACACGAACACATTCAGGGAAGCCCAGTCTCCTCCTCACTTTGCTGAGCCAGGAAACCCCAGCACCAGTCAGATCTGCAGGGTCCTGGGCTGACCCTGCGGACCTTCCCTCCTCCTCGCCGGGCCTTTGGGTGCACAACTCGGGAGCCAGGTGCATCCAAGGCCACACCCTTGTTCCTCACCAGGGACCACTTCAGCGCCCAAAGCCAGGCTGTATCACGGCTCCTCCCGACACCCATCCCTACGTTAGTTCTCAGTCTCAGCGCCCCCTCCCCTGTCCACCACCTCCAAAGAGCAGAGCAGAGGCCACTGACATTATCGGGATCCAGCCACTGCCAAGCTGCTGAGCACGCCCTGCCCTTGTTTCCCAGAATCCCGCTCCCCTCCAACTTACAGGGAGGACATGAAGGCCTCACAGGCAGGTGGCAGCCCCCAGATGTGACTGCAGAGTCTGTGTAAAATCTTCAGAGACCAGATGGAAACCATCAACTGCTCCATCCCAATTCCGTGTCCCAGTGGGTGCCAAACAATCCTGCCAGGCTCCTTCTGCTTCTGTAGCTTCCAAGTTCAACACAGATGTGGCCAGCATTCTGGGGAGCCCTCCTTGAGCCCCAAAAGGGAAGGACTAGGACTCCAGGGATCATTGAGTCCTGTGCTCAAATCGTAGCTCAGCCTAGATAGGGATCAAGCTGTCGGCCACCTTCTCTTTCCTCAATGCCCCATCTCACATTCAACTTTGTTTTTCATCATGGTCGCCCCTGACCCAGAAACAAGGAGAGATGCTGGGGCTTTGTGAGCTCAACGCAGCTTCTGGTCTTGCCCAGCCCTGGAGGAAAATGCCTTTCTTTGCATTTCTCATCCAAAGGCCTTAGAATTGCTGTTCATTTCATCAAGTTGATCCAGTGTCTTCCCAAGGGTGGGCAAGAAGATTGGGTGAATCTCCCAATAGATTGGAAAATTGGAAAGAGGGCCGATTCGACCCTGGGCCCCTTCGTTGTCCCATGGAAACCAGCTGCTATAGTTACTGCTCTTCAAACATGCTCAGCATCACCAGCTCTGGCAGGAAGGAGGGCTCCAACCTTGATTTTTACACTGTTGCTGGGCCTGTCTTGAGGGAGATTTTAGAGCTGGACCCTCAGTCCAGGCCACTGAGGATCCGGGGCTGACGGCAGAGTGCTGACCTTATCCCTTGAGACTATCCCTCCTGTCAGCAGGAGTGGATGGACACCATGGTCATCAGGGAGGGGAAACCCCTGGTAAGGCCACCAGGCCAGAAGCCTAGCCCCTGCCCGATTTCCCCAGGCTGCCAAGAGTGGCCTAGCATCTCTCCGGTTGTGTGCAGTCAGGAGAAACACAATGAATGTGTTTCACATCTTATACACCATGAGATCATTTCCTTCACAGGTTATGGTGCTAGGGCTATTAGATCCCCTCAAAGAACTCTGTGAACAATGTCGCCACAACATCGGCTGTCCCCTGGGGACTTAGAGGCAGGTGACGAGGTGTCTTCTCAGAGCCTAAAGCAGCTGGAATGAGCAGACATGTTCCAGCTGGCTGTCCTGAGTGAGCGCTGCATCTTGCCCTCCTCGGGGAAGAGGGGCATTATAAATTAAACCCTCCAGGACCACAGCAAAGGGAGGACGGCCTTAATGCTCACAAAGCAATGCTGCACCATGTTCGTTCCCGTTCAAGCACTCAAGAGGGTGTGGGTTCCCATGCAGCCACCCTGGGGAAGCAGAGCCACGGAGAGCAGTGAGTGGAGCCCAGGGTGCCCCTCAGCCTGGGGCCTGCAACTCCGCAGCCATTTTTTGTTGGATTTGTTCTCTTGTCTCTGAGGAAAACTTCCCCACAGGGCACCTCACTCCCTTCCCTCTCACACAGAAAATGCTGGGGCTGGTTAGCTTTCTGGAAAACTGGGTGGGAGGGAAAACAGAAGCTGCTTAAGGAAGACGAGGGGAGGGGCCATCCGAGGTCCAGCAGGAAGGAGGACCCCTCCCCAGCCCGGGAGGAAAGCAGGGCGACTCTCTCCCTATCACACACACACACACACACACACACACACAAACACACAGCACCCCCACACTCCTCGTCACCACCCCCAAACCTCCAGTCCGCCTCACTGGATAAACAAGTCCGGGTGTTTCATGCAGGCGCCAGAGGCCCAGCCCAGCACCAGGCTCGTTGGGCTGTGATGGAAGGCAGCCTCCATTCAGGGTTCCAGATGTGAAATGCTAACAGGCTTTAATGGCTTCAGCTGAACAGGAAATATTTTCCCCAAACCAAAGGAATGTAATCTTTTCAGTACAATGTAAAATGCTTTTATTAAAAAGGCACACAGTTGAAATGATAATTCACTACAAGCTCTAAAGAAATCACAATCCCACAACAAACCCCAAATTTAAGAATTCACTGCAAGCATATATTGGCATAGGCATCCCAAAAACAAAAATAATGACACATCTGAAAGCATTCGTCTAGGGAAGATATTTAAATTATGGACAATCTTTGCACCAAAGCATGAGTTCCAGGACTGCATCAAAAGCAAACTGGACCCGGGGCCACTGCAGTCACCCACTGTCATCAGCCACCATCACTACTCGGTCGCCCACTGCTGGTCATTGGTCGGGCCTAAAGCTCAGGGCCTTTCCCAGCATGTTCCAGCTCTTCTGATGTAAACAACAATGGCAAACAATGAAGACCTTGCAAGGGACCGGGGATCTGTACTTAATCATTGATGGAGTATCATTTGCTAAATATTCTCTCCAAACACCACCTCACCGCAAAGATCAGGAAAATTCCTTCATTTGAACAAAGCATAATTTTTTTCAGATGGGACTACTATTAGGAGAAACACTAAGGGAGGTATTTTAAAATTTACTAGCCCCACTCTTATGAGCTTGGCCTGTGCTAAACTTCACTACCTGGCAGGAACTCCAGGGCATTATGTCATTGGAAAGCCTGGCTCTAATCACTCGAATTTCTTCGTAATCCAGCTTGTCGTTCTGCAACTATGGTTAAGAATAGCTCTTGCTCAGGATAATGTGGACAAAAACGATACAAACGTACAAATAGTCACCTTGAAGCTTTTTTCATAGTTTTGTTTTCCTGTACTTTTCACATAGGTGATCTGGTCTTTTACTTCACAAATCAAGTTTTTAAAGGAACTTATTAGAGATGGAAATCTTATAAAAGAAGAAATCTACAGGGGGAGAGTGGATTGACTAAATTAGGGTCTGGCAGACAGCGAGATAGATGATAGATAGATAGATGATAGATAGAAAACTAAATTGCCTGGGGCAGGGCTCAAACTTGTGATCTTGTGATTTTCTGGCTTCAGCCTCTCAAAGTGTGCACACGACTAGTTTCTAACCAGTATTAGAGACCTCTGTGGGCCCTTG